AATTGTAGCCAGCTGAAATAGCTTTCTAATGCCGCCGGAATCAGTCGATTTGGAGTCCGGATGACAAAGCTATGCTCGACTTCGTGGACGCTACCGAAGATGTTGAGGGATCCTCTCTTCTAATTTGATTTTATTTGCCTAATTGCAACTCTTTTCTTACTCTTTGATCATTTTTGCTTCATGGACACCTAATTATCAATTTGTACCTATAGAATACTAAATCCACCAATTAAAACAACAATATTAATTAATCCATGAAAAAATCCACGTAAACGTAAACGTCGAGTGTTATTTCTACACTCCACTGTATCTTTTGTATCTTGTGTTTTTGCTGTTGTTTGGTTATGCGTATTAAAGTCCTAGTGTTGTATTTCGTGTTTTAAAGAACGTTGTTGCGAATGCACTTTTGCGAATATTTTTTTACATGTACGTTGGTGCATGTTCATTTGAGCGAGTGTGTTTGTGCAGGTTTGTTGATTTGTATTAATGTCCTAGGATTGTAGTTTGCGTTTTCATGATCCTTTTTGCGAATGCAGTTTTGCGTGAGTAATTTTGTGCATGATTTTGTACTTTTACTTATGTGCGTATCTTTTGTAGCGAGTGTTTTTGTGCCCGATTCTTGATGCGCATTCGTGTCCTCGAACTGTAGCGGGTATTTTCATCATCGCGGTTGGATCCAATTTTGACCATGTTTGAGTCCGAATTTGGAAATTTGACATAAGACAGGAATTGTAGCAAGCTGAAATAGCTTTCCAATGCCGCCGGAACCAGTCGATTTCGAGTCCGTATGAGAAAGTTAAGCTCGACTTCGTGGACACTACCGAAGATGTTGAGGGATCCTCTCTTCTAATTTGATTTTATTTTCCTAATTGCAACTCTTTTCTTACTCTTTGATCATTTTTGCTTCATGGACACCTAATTAAAAATTTGTACCTATAGAATACTAAATCCACCAATTAAAACACAAATATAAATTAATCCATAAAAAAATCCACGTAAACGTAAACGTTGAGTGTTATTTCTACACTCCACTCTATCTTTTGTATCTTGTGTTTTTGCTGTTGTTTGGTTATGTGTATTAGTTGTTTGGTTATGTGTATTATAGTCCTAGTGTTGTACTTCGTGTTTTTAAGAACGTTGTTGCGAATGCACTTTTGCGCAAGTTTTTTTACATGTATGTTTGTGCATGTCCATTTGAGCGAGTGTGTTTGTGCATGTTTGTTGATTTGTATTAATGTCCTAGGATTGTAGTTTGTGTTTTCATGATCCTTTTTGCGAATGCTGTTTTGCGTTAGTAATTTTGTGCATGATTTTGTACTTTTACTTATGTGCGTATCTTTTGTAGCGAGTGTTTTTGTGCACGTTTCTTGATGCGCATTCGTGTCCTCGAACTGTAGCGGGTATTTTCATCATCGCTGTTGGAATCCAATTTTGACCATGTTCGAGTTCGAATTTGGAAATTTGACATTAGACAGGAATTGTAGCCAGCTGAAATAGCTTTCCAACGCCGCCGGAACCAGTCGATTTCGAGTCTGGATGAGTATGTTATGCTCGACTTCGTGGACAATACGAAGATGTTGAGGGATCCTCTCTTCTAATTTGATTTTATTTTCCTAATTGCAACTCTTTTCTTACTCTTTGATCATTTTTGCTTCATGGACACCTAATTATGAATTTGTACCTACAGAATACTAAATCCACCAATTAAAACACAAATATAAATTAATCCATAAAAAAATCCACGTAAACGTAAACGTTGAGTGTTATTTCTACACTCCACTCTATCTTTTGTATCTCGTGTTTTTGCAGTTGTTTGGTTATGTGTATTAAAGTCCTAGTGTTGTACTTCGTGTTTTTAAGAACGTTGTTGCGAATGCACTTTTGCGCATGTTTTTTTTCATGTATGTTTGTGCATGTCCATTTGAGCGAGTGTGTTTGTGCATGTTTGTTGATTTGTATTAATGTCCTAGGATTGTAGTTTGTGTTTTCATGATCCTTTTTGAGAATGCAGTTTTGCGTGAGTAATTTTGTACTTTTACTTATGTGCGTATGATGTGATTGGGATCACATCAACCAAAGTTATAATGTTGACGCCACAAGAAAGAGACTTAATAGAGTTCACGAGATTAAGGAATAACTAACCGCACTCCTTTTTCTTTTATTTTTTTATTTTAATTTTCTCTTTTTTTTTGTTTTTTTTTTTACGATGGACTCTAGAAGAACAAAGATAGATAAAGAGTAGAAGAACTTAAAAGACTCAAGAACAGACCTGATGAAAGAAACAAAAAGATGACGCTAGGAAGAAGAAAATGTAAGGAAAACCAGAAGACTCAACCAAAAAAAAAGAAAAGAAAGAAAAAAAAACTCAAAAGGATAGGCGAAACCTTCTCCGGAAGTTGGCTCTGATACCAAATGATACGAACCACGCCAACACCGGTATCAATACTTCGGATTTCAAATCCTGGACCGTCCAAAGAAGGTTTCAATGGGGTGAAACCTCGACCCATTGCCTATAAAGAGGCAAGAACCTTGGTATGCGAAGACGCCACAATCAATTGCGGAAGATTGATTAATGAGTCAGGGGCGAACGCCACGGAGAACAACTCCGATAAGTTCATTTAAAAACAATGGTTCTTGAAGAACCGAAGAGACACACTCTTAATCAAAATATTTCAATACATTGTTGTGTGTTTTTATTCATACAAGTTGATCCCTTTATATAGGGTTCAGCTACTCTAATCTATGCAAACAAATAAAGACAAGGAATTATTATCTATCTAATCAAATCAGCCATTAATCAGCCAATCTTATTAACATTTATTGAATCTAAATTAAGAAAGTTTTTTAAATCATGGTCTTGATCTTCCAAGGCTGAAATGCACTAATAAAGAGCCCTCATATCTCCTAAAAAACGTGTGTATCTTTCCTTGCTGAATTCTTGAACATTCGAAAGGCTTATAATATGTGGTTGCATCAATTAGAACATTCCAAGATTGATATCTTTATGGTTAAAGCCTCTCAAATCTGATCAGGACCAATGTAAAAATCTGAATCGAAAACCTTTGAAATCGTTGATTGCTTGATGTGATTGGGATCACATCAGCGTATCTTTTGTAGCGAGTGTTTTTGTGCACGTTTCTTGATGCGCATTCGTGTCCTCGAACTGTAGCGGGTATTTTCATGATCGCTGTTGGAATCCAATTTTGACCATGTTTGAGTCCGAATTTGGAAATTTGACATTAGACAGGAATTGTAGCCAGCTGAAATAGCTTTCCACTGCGGCCAGAACCAGTTGATTTGGAGTCCGGATGACAAAGTTATGCTCGACTTCGTGGACACTACCGAAGAAGTTGAGGGATCCTCTCTTCTAATTTGATTTTATTTTCCTAATTGCAACTCTTTTCTTACTCTTTGATCATTTTTGCTTCATGGACTCCTAATTATAAATTTGTACCTATAGAATACTAAATCCACCAATTAAAACACAAATATAAATTAATCCATAAAAAAATCCACGTAAACGTAAACGTTGAGTGTTATTTCTACACTCCACTCTATCTTTTGTATCTTGTGTTTTTGCTGTTGTTTGGTTATGCGTATTAAAGTCCGAGTGTTGTACTTCGTGTTTTTAAGAACGTTCTTGCGAAGGCACTTTTGCGCATGTTTTTTGACATGTATGTTTGTGCATGTCCATTTGAGCGAGTGTGTTTGTGCATGTTTGTTGATTTGTATTAATGTCCTAGGATTGTAGTTTGTGTTTTCATGATCCTTTTTGCAAATGCAGTTTTGCGTGAGTAATTTTGTGCATGATTTTGTACTTTTACTTATGTGCGTATCTTTTGTAGCGAGTGTTTTTGTGCACGTTTCTTGATGCGCATTCGTGTCCTCGAACTGTAGCGGGTATTTTCATGATCGCTGTTGGAATCCAATTTTGACCATGTTCGAGTCCGAATTTGGAAATTTGACATAAGACAGGAATTGCAGCCAGCTGAAATAGCTTTCCAATGCCGCCGGAACCAGTCGATTTCGAGTCCGGATGAGAAAGTTAAGCTCGACTTCGTGGAAACTACCGAAGATGTTGAGGGATCCTCTCTTCTAATTTGATTTTATTTTCTTTATTGCAACTCTTTTCTTACTCTTTGATCATTTTTGCTTCATGGACACCTAATTATCAATTTGTACCTATAGAATACTAAATCCACCAATTAAAACACAAATATAAATTAATCCATAATAAAATCCACGTAAACGTAAACGTTGAGTGTTATTTCTACACTCCACTTGTAACACCCCGTAAATATATAAGTTGTTTAAGTCTGGGGTAATTGAATTTATTTGGTTGATATGTGTCGATATGGAATTATAATATATTTCGAATTTGATGGGAAGTGTAGAAATTGTAATTATCTAAAGTTATGGCATCTATTTAGTAACTAAGAAAACAATTTGGCCTTATAGCCAATTTTCATAATTATAGCTGAGATAGGGATTGACGTGTATGTCGTCAATTCACAATGCCCCTTTGGCAGCCACGTTTCTTTTTTCTCCCCAGCTCACCCTTTCACTGCCTCTCTCTCTCTATCTTCCTCTCTCTCTCTCTCTCTCTCTCTCTCTATATTCCTCTCTTCCTCTATCGGCTCTTGGGCTGGAATTGCAGAAATTTTACAGCAAAACTCGAGTAATATGAGAGGTGCCGTTGGAAATCTCAAGACGCAGCTTTCTTGTGGTGATGGATTTCACCGGCGATGACGAGCGGTGGTGGCTGGAATCGGGCAAAGAAAACGGATTCCTTAAATGTAGAATCTCGACGATCAGGTCCCATCATTAGAAACCTTACGATGTTATCTTTCTATTGGTGGTGAAGCTCGATGGCTAGCACCGACGTTGGTCGCCGGAGTTTGGTGAGAAGTCAGCCTGCTCGCTGCGATTTTGGGGAAGCAAATTCTGCTGCCGCACCTGTTTTCGGAGCCAAAATCGAAGGGTTTTGGTACGAATTTGGTATCAGTTCCTTCAGGAAACTCGTAGAGGACATCGTAAACTATAAGTAAGTGTTCAATTGTATCGAATTAGAGTATTTAATATACGTGTTTTAGAGGTCGGAATCCGATGACAGTAATCTGCCGGAAACAGGGCAGTTTTGAGTGTCTTCTTGCGGGACTCTTTTCGATATGTTGGGATCATAATTTGGGCTGTATGTCTTCAGGAAACTTGTAGATTAAATTTTCAGGTTTCATTTGATGTATTATTTGGACAATTTAGATAACCGTACAATTTGTTATGATTTTTCAAACGGACTGCGACAGCAAACGAAATTATCCGAAAATCTGGCAGGTTTATGTGTTCATCTTTCGGGGTTGTTATTGACGGGTTATGTTGTTAATTTGGGATTAAAATCTTCAGTGAACTTGTAGATACAGATGTTATCTTTAAATTTATATATCGTTTAGGTCATTCGGATAAGTACGACGACCGCAGTGATTATTTGAATAAATTGTCGCGAGAAGCAATTCTTAGTATATGTTTAAGAAATTGACTATGTCATATAGTGGATGGTAGATGGTAAAGGCTATATTACTGTTCGGAATCTTATTTAGTTCTAATATTTGAATAGGTGTTGAGCGTAGTAAAGCTCTCACTCAAGGTTTAAGCTTAAGGATGCACCTATAGAACCAGCATTGGACTCCAGGTGAGAAACTATGACTCCTTATCCAATTTCTTTCCTGCGCATAATATCTCCTTTGTTTGAACCGAATATTTTGTATACATTGAAGCCTTCGATACCGTGATTATATTTGTTCTTGAAATATGACCCTAAATGTTCTGCGACCATATTCGTCTCTTTGGCTCAAACTTGGAACCTTGATCCCGTTACTTGAAATCTTGAACTTGTTTTTTCTCTTGATTGCTATGTTCACGGCTAATTCTTATAATTTATTCGTTGGCCTGAACATTTTCCTTGAACTCGATATTGGACTATATTTATTCTCAAAATCTTGTCTTGAATGCTTTTCGAGAATAAATATTTTGTTGGCTCGAACTTGAATCTCATGTTTATTGAATTCATTGAGATTTTGATATACTCGTTCTTGGAACCTGACATGGAACTTATTGTTCTTCTTGAATTCCATATTCACGACAATTCTTTCATTGGCTTGAATTGAAATCTGAACATGTTCATTATCCTAAGATATGATATTCAATTATCATGATCGTGACTTATCTTGTGAATGATTGACTTAATTCTTGAAATGAATGACTTGATATTCCTAAAAGGAATGATATTGATTCTTGAACCTACTGTCCCCACCCTTGAGGACGCTCTTGGGGGAGCTGGGCCCTAGGACCATTTCGGCAAGACGATCGGGCAGTATTGGGCTGACGATGACTGGTCTCCCGAATGGTACCTCCTGATGGTTCGGACTCACGTTCGTTTGGAGTTAAACGTTCCTGAGCCGGATCGGCACGTTCCGGTCGTGCCTCTTGCCTGTTTCCGACCGAGTGGCCACTCGGGACGGATTGGAGGGATAAGGATGTGATATGATTTTATTTGTTGGGAGTTACAAGGTTGGAGACCCCACCAAATATTGAACTCAAGCCGTACATGTTACACTCTTGTACATGTTACACTTCTGTTAATGAAATTCTTGTAAAGTCTCTCGTTATATGTTCTGTTGATTCTCATCATACTCAGGGATCATATGTTTTTCACTAAGTCATTCGGATTTATTCGTTTCTCCTTTCTGATATTAATGCGCAGGTAAAAGAAAGACTTAGACCTAAATTTTCATACCAAGTGTTAAAGCTCGTGTATACCTCTGACTAGCCTCGTCGAGAGGTACCTCTAATGATGTTCCGTATAGGCATCTTTTGATCGAGAATTTTGTAATAGAGTAAGTGGTGTCGATGTCGACTTGTAATAGAATCCCCTTTTGTAAACACGATGATATAGATATTGGGGTTTAATGTATTGATCCTCGAAATTTTGAGGAGCATATTTGGGGTTATTGAATGTACTGCATGTTGAGTGGTGTTCCGCCACGAGGTGCCTGCTACTCGGGGCGGGGCGCTACAGGTGGTATCAGAGCTTTGGTAGCTTTGGGTTGGATGCCCGGGCGATGATGAAAATCAATTCTTTGATAACTGTAGAGGTATGAATTGAATCTTGCGAAATTGAGAAGATTGGTAGTAATCGAGTATTAGAGGCGTTGAGATAATACTTTAGCGTCTATTACGGATATAGATAGTGAGGAATGCCCCGTAGAAATATCTATCATACACGACCTGAGACGCTGTATGAGATTCTTGGTTCTTTTGGTTACTTCAATTGACTTCCAATTCTCCCAATTCTCCGATGTTGTTTATCACGAGTGAGACCCCTAGTCTCACTTGAATTGGGTAATACCTTTTTGCAGACGTCCCATTCCTTTTTACTTCATAACTTGACTTCCTTATCCAAACCATACTATCTCATTTTGAGTATTGATTTATGGTGAACCAAATATCCGGGAGTCCTTTTTGTTTTCTCTCCTTATCATTCCAATGAATTCAATTTTGATTCGTTGGCTTATATTGTCTAATTTCATTTGTTGATCGTAATCGATTCTCTTATCTCATTTTATTACATCATAGTCTTAGTTACCAATTTTATGAGGTTTCGTACCCCTTCAAATTCCTCATGGTTTGGATTATCCCTTGTTTTGAAGCCCCTTACCTTATTGTGCTACCATCTCAACCTTCTATCCTTTGTAAATATTCTATGGTTTCGGCTTATCTATTTGTCGAGACTTCCAATCCAGTTCACTCCATCCTTAGCGATCCAATTATTTTGAATACGTCATGACTTTGGTCATGTTCTTGTGAGGCTTCGTACTTTATTCTATTACAATCTACTTTGATCATCTACCTGATTGTGAGGTTTTGTATCTCTTTGAACACTCTATAGTTTTGGCGAATCTATATGCCGAGACTTTTTGTTTCTTGAAAATTTCTTTACTTAATCTATACTACTCCATTTTCAGTGTTCCAATTTCCTTGAAAATCTCGTGATTTTGGTCACGTACCTTTGAGGTCCCTATTCTCGTTTCACTTGGCTATATCATTGTTATTATTCTAATGTCGGGGCAATCTTTCTACCTATTTTTGAGGTTCTTGTTCTTTTGGCCTCAAAATTCAATTCTCGTACATGTATTGTTCCATTGTTATTATTGATCACAGTGGAAATCTCATATCTCATTTCAAAACTCCATATCTCATTTCAACACTTCGGCATCTCGGTTACCTATTTTTTTTCAGGTATCTGATTATTTGTATACAATATTGCTTGACTATCTTACTTCCTTCCCACTATTGATCACGAGTGAGGTATTTGATCTCGTTTGAATGCCTCGATATCCTTGTTCCGTTGTTTTTTTTAGATCCCTCATCTCATTTAATACTTCTCGATTTGGATAGCCTATTCTGTGAGGTTTCTTATCCCTTTGAAACCTTGTGATTCGACTTCTTTATATCGCTTCTATTTGTTCACTCTCACTCATAGGTCATGATTATTGATAATTCAAGGTAAAAGTTTGGACCTTGTTTGGGCAATGTCGTGTAATATGACTATGGTTGTATGCATCTATTGTTATATCATCTAATGGATTCGACTTGGAATAGTTCGACGATTATCTTACTCAACGGGAAAAGGTTATGTAGTTATCGCGACTTAGTAATTCTATAGAGTTTGTTGACTCTTAAGGTATCTTGAGCATTTTGAATTCTTGATTCTAATCGTCAGGGTACTGGGAGCTAAGTGCTATGCAGGGCAAACTGCTACGATGTGGGAGCCACCTCTTGAACCTGCGGGACAAAGTGCTACACAACGGGAGTCACCTCTTAATCTTGCATGAGCCACCTCTAGAGTCCCTAGTATCCGATAAGTCAGATGTATCTTGACATTGGATTATCAGTTTTTGCAATTCTATTTGGTTAATATCAAGAGCTAGGTGCTATGTGGAGAAGGTGTTTAAAGTACAACACCTATGTCTAGAACACCGTACAGGATTGCACTTTTCCTTATAAGATGTTAAAGAAAAACTACAAGAATTCGGCCTTCATGATCAGCTTGCTATTAATAAGTTTTGCCCATCATGTCGTTTGGTTGAAGTAATGCACCATCGACATTAATAGACATAATGTGTATAATGTTTCCGACGTGATTAGAGCGCGCTTGGTGTCGAAAAATTATATTAGACTAGTTCACCTATGTTGGAAATAGTAGTGAATTGAATGAAAAAAATTAAGGCTCCTCAATTGTCGGATATTCTGAGTCATGACTTCTCTACGATAAGTAATTATTAGGCATGCGGTTGCGAAACCACCGGAAGATTATATCAACCGTTGCCATCTTCGATTACTCTTGATTTTAGAAGTAAAGCTCTCTTCCATCAACCTTTTTCCTGGTCGATCTACTATTCGAAAACCTTTTTCTTTGTGAACTCCATCTATAATCAAGCCCTTCTAGTGTCCAATGTTGATACAATAAGTAAATCAGGCTTCGTTGTCCTCTTTGATTGTAATCGTGGTGCATTCAATTCCACTTTATGTAGACCAATGAGAAGAGAATTTTTGTGGACCGGGAAAGTAGTTGCCTCCTTGTCTCCTGAAGAGAATTTAGATCCGAAATCTATCTCTTGTAGCTAACTCACATTATCTCGATATAGATTATGAGTCATCTCGTTCCTAGGATTGTAGTTTGTGTTTTCATGATCCTTTTTGCGAATGCAGTTTTGCGTGAGTAATTTTGTGCATGATTTTGTACTTTTACTTATGTGCGTATATTTTGTACCGAGTGTTTTTGTGCACGTTTCTTGATGCGCATTCGTGTCCTCGAACTGTAGCGGTTATTTTCATGATCGCTGTTGGAATCCAATTTTGACCATGTTCGAGTCCGAATTTGGAAATTTGACATTAGACGGGAATTGTAGCCAGCTGAAATAGCTTTTTAATGCCGCCGGAACCAGTCGATTTGGATTCTGGATGAGAAAGTTATGCTCGACTTCGTGGACACTACCGAAGATGTTGAGGGATCCTCTCTTCTATTTTGATTTTATTTTCCTAATTGCAACTCTTTTCTTACTCTTTGATCATTTATGCTTCATGGACACCTAATTATCAATTTGTACCTATAGAATACTAAATCCACCAATTAAAAAAACATATAAATTAATTCATACAAAAATCGACGTAAACGTAAACATTGAGTGTTATTTCTACACTCCACTGTATCTTTTGTATCTTGATTTTTTGCTGTTGTTTGGTTAGGCGTATTAAAGTCCTAGTGTTGTACTTCGTGTTTTGAAGAACGTTGTTGCGAATGCACTTTTGCGCATGTTTTTTTACATGTATGTTTGTGCATGTCCATTTGAGCGAGTGTGTTTGTGCATGTTTGTTGATTTGTATTAATGTCCTAGGATTGTAGTTTGTGTTTTCATGATCCTTTTTGCGAATGCAGTTTTGCGTGAGTAATTTTGTGCATGATTTTGTACTTTTACTTATGTGCGTATATTTTGTACCGAGTGTTTTTGTGCACGTTTCTTGATGCGCATTCGTGTCCTCGAACTGTAGCGGGTATTTTCATGATCGCTGTTGGAATCCAATTTTGACCATGTTCGAGTCCGAATTTGGAAATTTGACATTAGACGGGAATTGTAGCCAGCTGAAATAGCTTTCTAATGCCGCCGGAACCAGTCGATTTGGATTATGGATGAGAAAGTTATGCTCGACTTCGTGGACACTACCGAAGATGTTGAGGGATCCTCTCTTC